GTCGTTTGCATGTTTAAAAGAAAAATTATTATCTTGAAGAGATTATTTTTTTTAATATTCTCTCAAACTACCAGAAAATTTAATGGGTAAAAAAATATAATAGCATTTCTAGTACGTATTTTAAATCCTCGCCAGTGTGTGTATATCTTTTCTTTCAAAACAATATTTTTTTATATTTTGAATATACAAATAGCACTGCTATATGGCAGATTGTAAATACCTTATCCCAAGTAAGCTTCTCGACATCAACAAGAATCCTCATCAACTCGGGAATAGCTAGGGAGGGATGCGTATCGTTGAGTTGAATCGCCACTTTATCAGGGAAGCAATCGAAATCGGTTCTGTGATGCTCTCTCGAACCGAATTTGCTAGATTTATATCTTCGAATAATATCTTGCAGAGTGGCAGCTACCATAAAGTATTCTTGCTTTAATCTGAGCTCTTTGCCCTCGAAGAAATTGTCGTTGGGATAAAGGACTCTGGTTATATTCTCCGCCAGATTACGATCGATCACAGCTTGTATGTAGTCACCATCGTTAACTGAAAAAACACCAGTCAATAATGTATCATGGGTCAATAGTAGTCGGAAAACTGTTATTGTATCGCACACAAACTTATTAATACTTACAGAATTTTAAATTAAATTCTACAGGTGATTTTGCGGACCATAGTCTCAGTGAATTAACAACATTATTTTTGTAACCGGGAATTGGGTTGTCATAAGGCATAGCAAAAACGACCTGAGTAATACATAAATAAAACATCGTGATAACTAGATCAAAACAGCAATTATCAATACAATTAAAACATCATGTACATATAGGAAGAAAATTGTCTAAATGACACAGACTTCTGGACCGTATCATCAGACTTATAAATTTATCTACTACATTTAAATCGCATCTAATAGATTAATTATAATCTATAACGCAACGTGTTATAATGCCTTATCAACTTTGAATCATTTGCTATTGTCATATGTGTTGTACATCAATTATAAAAAATATTGTGTTTTTAAAATTATTTCTTTATATTTCTATAAAAAGAAATAGAAAGCAAATAAGATTTATATTATAGTAATTTTGCTTATTTGTAGCAATACTTATAAAAAATATTTAATTTATTGATTAGTTCAAGCCCATAGGTTAAGATTAAAGTATTAGAAACTGAGTTTTCTCAATCGTACCAATCACTGTTCCTCAAATCGCACTGATGCGATTTACAATTAGACGATATGATTGTAAGATTTCAGTTTTCTTTTTTTTACAGTACAATAGCAAAAAAACCAATAGCACAAAAAAAAAGAATAAATAAGAGAAAAGAGAAAATTGTCTCTTAAACCCAAGGTCTTAGAAAATTACGCTTTTCTTAGGCTGTTATTCAATAAGAAATAATGGTTTCGTAGCTTGTGTTGGAAATGCATAAGAAAGGATAAAATGTGTAGTATACAGAATTTCAAAAGATGAGTCTGAATACATATGTGCCTTTCCTAAAAACGAAATAAATAAATTTTTTTTAATATAGCCTAATAATATTTCTAATGTTAAACTATGTTATACTATTTATTCTGGTGAATATAATCCATAAAAAATATAATTTTATTTTACAAATTTAACAGTGCCTTCTTTCAATATGCTATATATATGTGCGATTTAAGAAATTTGTTGCTGAATGGTAACGATTGCAAAGATTTATAATTTTTTGTACCTTGAAATTAATAAAAATTTAAACAAAAAATTGAGAAAGAGAGGAAAATTCTTATTTTTTTATAGTAGCATAATCAAAAATATATTATTTTAAATTTTAAATATATGATTATCTTTTAAATATAATGCCATTTCAGACAACTTTCTCCTATGTACAAAAGATTAAAATAATTTATTACCTGTGTATTCACCCACTTTTTACCCTCGGCATCGTCAATCACGTGGCCGTAAAAATTCACCGGTAACATAAATTCTGGCCGAGCTTTCTCCCACGGGTTGCCATATCGGAGCCAATCGTCCGGCTCCTCTACCTGCTCGCCATTTTTGATTTTCTGCGCAAATATGCCATATTCGTAACGTATTCCATAACCGTAAGCGGCTAAACCTAATGTGGCCATGCTGTCCAAAAAGCAAGCAGCTAGACGACCTAATCCTCCGTTACCGAGGCCAGCATCTTCCTCGAGCTCTTCTAATTCCTCTATATCCAAACCCATCTACGAAAAACGGTCGTAATTATACAGGTGTGTCTGGTAATCGGGACGAGTTTTTATATAAGATATATTCATTCTTCAATAATTTAAAATTTACTTTATACTTCCTTTTTTCGCATAATATTTATTACAAATTTCCTTTTATTTTTCATAATGTGTTAAGCTTATAAAAACACACTTACATACCTCCAAGTAAAGTTATTTTTGATCTCTTTCAAATCTATATATACTAAAAAAACTGTACCGATTATGTAATGTGATTTTTATGACTTTAATACACACTTATACAAAGAAATACAAATATATTTTCACACTGATTCAGGTCTTATTTTATCAGAATATTTTTCTCTATTTTCTACCATTGGTCAAAATACTGATATGAATATAATGATATATAATGCATTGGAAAGAAAATAAGAGAGAGAGAGAGAGAGAGAGAGAGAGAGAGTTAATAAACTGTTATAAAATTAATGATAGACTAGTTGAAGAAGATATTTCCAGTATTAAACATTTGAACCCTGGCTTTTTTCTTGAAACCGAAAGTATGTGTTTTCGTAAGAAGTTCTATCATTTATTACTGTATTATCTTATCGCATTATTAAAGTATATATTGCATATATATATGCAACATCATACGTTACGTAATCATTACATAATATCCATAACATAAGCAAGATAAAGTAAAAACAAGATAAAGTAAAAACAAGCTGAAAATTATGCAAATTTGAAACTTGCACATTGCTTCCTCATCATTTTATTTCGCTCACAAAGCTTAAACTCCTTAAAGCAAGCGAGTTTTTTAGTTTTGGCTTCTTCATAGAGAAAGATATCTTAAAATTTGCGAAAATTAGGACGTGTACAGACATTTCTCAAAAAATTAAAAATTTTATAAAAATAAATTCTTTCATTTTCAATACCAACCATCCTTTAATAATACTCTATTCACGTAAAAAAAATTTAACCCATTATCTCAAAATTTGCGAAAGCTAGAACGTGTACAGGCATTTCCCAAAAAATCCAAAATTTTATAAAAAATGAATCCTTTCACCGATCCTCACCAGATTTAATACCAACCATCCTTTAATAATACTCTATCCACGTAAAAAAATTAAACCCGATATCTCAAAAATTGCGGAAGTTAGAGGTTGTATAAACATTGCGTACATACATACATACATGCATACATACATACATACATACATACAAGAATATGATTTTTCGACGTTTTAGAACATTCTAAACACATTAGCATAAAAAACACGAAAATAAAATTTTGTCACGAAAACAAAGCTTCCTCTATGAGGAAGTAAAAATAAATAATCAAATTTAGTAGCACAATCATAGCTTTAGAATAGAATAAATATGCTAGAAAAATAATAATTTTGCACACACAATTTTTATGTTAAATTTTAATAATTAGATATAATATTGTTTAAATCAAAAACTCAAGAACATATTTCTCGCACTCTACAAGCTCAAACAACACAAGCTCCTAAAAGATGACTAAAAGACAACTTAAAGATATCTTATTGTCTTTTAGACATTTAAAATATCTTTTGGCTTTTCTGTGCTGTTTGGGAGCCTATTTCGTAACTTTTTTACGCGTGTGTTATAACTAAAACACATTTTTTTATAGCTACGAATCTGGTAACGCATGTTATATTAACAAGTTTCAAAATCAGCCTGCTATATGTCAAAAGTGTGTTTTTTTATTCATATTTTCATAAACTATATAAAATTTTTATAATTTATCCTTTATTTATCCTTTTTAAGCAAGTGTCAAATGAAGATAACCGCTCTATTTCTTCGAAGAAGAGCAGAAAGAGAAAGCAGAGGAGTGTAATATATATCTCATAAAATGTTTTTTATAATTTGTCTAATGATCTGGTAAAAAAAATAATCCATTTTTATTTTCAATATTTTTCAAGACAAAAGACAGAAATTTAGGGGCGTCCTAAGATTTTAGTTATATTCAATACATTTGTATAAATTAGGGTTAGGAAGTAACGCGTTACTTGTAACGCCATTACCGTTACAATTTTTTCGGTAACTGTAACAGTAACGGCGTTACAAATTTTGTTTGTAACGGAAAAAGTAATTTCGTTACATTTTTCGGTAACGAGTAACGAATTTAACAGTTACTTTTATCGTTACTTTTTTCGAATTTATTCTTATAATCTTCATGTAAAAAAACATATTGAAGAGTGTTGGAATGCAGCATTACATGAAAACTACTGGAAGGCTTTTTTGTCTTGTTTTTTCCTATTTTTTAAGGCGAGCAGCACATATAAAATAATATTTAAAAATTTTTAGTGTTTAGTATAAATTTTTAGTTTAATTTGACCTCGTATTTAAAAAAATTGTATGTAAAGTTTGTATTGTATATAAAAAAAAGTAACGGAAATTGTAACGACTCGTTATTTTTTCAGCAGTAACGGTAACGTTTTATTAAAGTAACTTTCCCAACCTTAGTATAAATACATGCAATTACGTAAAGTACAATATAACTTGCCTGATACATTGCCTCATCGCATGCTCCTTGTATACCTAAATTAATCATTGTATTTTGCAGCGATCTTCCCATATAATATTCCAAGGACAAATAATACACCCTCTGAAAGAAAAAAAATATTCACGATTATGAATGGAATCTCCTATTTGACTTTAATTAACAACATTGCATTGTAAATATCGTGTACGAATTTCACATCGTAAATTCAAAAATATAATAAAAAAACCATTTGGATATTTAAATTTTTTTTAAATATAAGCGAGATACAATATGGATATTATAATACTATATAAGTTTATATTACATATTACAATATTAAAATTAACAAAAATTATTTTTCTAGAGAACAATGGCCGTACAAATAAAAATATATTGTTATTGTAGGTCATCTCCGTCTTAAAATGAAGCAAAATTCATATAGGGTCGATTAACTGACACCTATTATAATTCGTAGATATGGTGAATACTGATTTCTGTATGAAAACCGATTGATTTTCTTCTAAGAGAGAAGCCTAGTAGATTTTTATACAGAGAATAGTCTATTATTAGTATGAGTAGAATATAACTTTCTTATGTTATGTAACATCTTGTTTTCATTCCAAATTTAATTTGTAAATTAATATTACTTTTTTTTTGTTTTCAACTTGCACACATAATTAGATTGTAGATTATATTGTAGATCGACGAATTTGCTTTATTTTAGTTGTTCTATATGTGGTTATCGTAATATAAATTTTAAAAATACATTTGATTTGAAAAATATATATATTAGAGATGCTTAACATATTTATTTTAATTTTATAATTGTATTTTATAATTTTATAATTTGTTCGGTTATTTTAATTATCATTTTTAAGGTATGTCAATATTTTCTTTTAAGGACAGTCGATTACAAATTGATTAAGAAATCTATGAATCACATATTCAATGATCTTTGTACACGCTTATCGACAAAATTTCTAACAGTTTAAGAAAAAGCAAATCATGTTAGAAAGTTCACATTTTTGGGTATGTATCCAAATGACGAGTCCAACAAGAAGAATTAGAGATGTGTACTAAATTGGCGCAGATTCCAACATTCACAAGAGTATCTAAATTTGAAAGAAATTATAAAGAGAAAAAGAATATTAAATTATCCGATTACATAAGCTTATGAGGTTATTTATCTTAATTCTCATGTAAGTACCGTATTGTAAGCGTAAGTTTATTTAAAAAATTTTTAACGCATCTCTCTCTTAATAATCTCTTAATAATCTCTCTTAAATAATAATTATATAAAATTATTTTATCATATTGGGGGGAGTGTGTGTGTTTGTAGAAAATAATTATAATGATTTAACCGAAAATTAATAAATTTATAAGGCTCTGCACAAAAAAAAACTAAAACAAAAGACAGGTAAATAAGAGACAAGTGCAGGAAATTGTATGGCGCAACTAAATTTTTAAATATTTATTTAAAAAACTTTTAATTGTACATTTCGGTGATCCGTGAGAAGTTTAATTAGACTTTTTAAATAAATACGGAAATGTTATACGTATATAAAATATATCTCCACACGCTTTTGGCGCAACTGTAATTTTAATAAAACTTTGTGAATAACTCAAAGTTGATTTTCTCATTGCAAAAATGTCGAGGAAAATTAACTAAAAAAAGTATATTTTAGTTATCTATACTTGTCCCTCTAAAACTTACTTCACAAACAGCCCTCCTTTGTTAATTACTTGTAACTATATCGTAGATGCATTAACATATTTTTTAAAGGAAAGATCAAATTTTCAAACTTATTAGAAAATCTTTAAAATTAATTAAATTTATCAGGAAATTATCAAAATTAAAATCACAAATTATAGAATTCTTATTGAAAAAAGGGTAAATATAGCGAAAAGGGGATCCAGCCCCAATGACCTTGACCTTGATATATGTTGTCAAGGACATAATTCTGAGTAACTTTTTCTTCTAATTTAATCGTCGCTCGTTGCTTATTAAAAAGTTATTAACAAAAAAAGTTTGAAATATACTAAAGTACATGCATGGACAGGAAGCACGCGCGCGCACACAGTAGCATGTACTTTGTAAGTTGTAAAGCGAGGTCAACATATATCAAGGTCAAGGTCATTGGGGCTGGGTCCCCTTTTCGCTATATTTACCGAAAAAAATTATAGAAAATACGTATTAGATATAGAGAGAAACAGAATTATATAAATATATTTTTAATAGTACCAAAATAATATCTGCATATTTTAATGAGTGCTTAAAAACATAATCGAAATAAGATCAAAACTTAGAATATACAGGATGAATCACGCAATCATGTCTCTCTTAAATACTTTAATAAAAGAAAAAAAGAGGTAAAAAAAGTATATTTTACACAATATTCTATAACAGGGACTTAAGGAGCAATTATCGTGTGTTATTATAATAAAAATCACATTTAAAATAAATACACGAACATTTAGTTTGAATAAATAAGAATAAATTAGAATAAATTAGACAAACGAAGTACAGTATAAATAGTGTAAAACTGTTAAAATAACTACTAATGACAGAAAATTGATAAAATCGCAATTAGATAAGAATTAAACAAACGTTTCTGTCCCAATCTGGACTCTCTTCAGTGTAAAAATTAACAGTATAAAAGTAGCGGTCAAGAATACAAAATAAGATTTAAATAACTTAGTCAAATAATAAAAATATAAAGGGTCGGCTGTTGAAAATATTTAAAATCCTCCAACGGCTTCCCAATGACTCAAATGTATTGTCTACCCTACCACATAGTGGTTTCAAAAACTAGCGGCCGAGAATACATTTGTAAGCTATGGGTCTTCTAGAAATCGTTTTATATAGTGGTAGAATAATGCCGCGTATAACAAAAGACATGAGACTTACCGATGGAGGGAGACTCAAAACATTTAACAACGTAAAATATTACATCGAATATTTTACATTTCAGATTATAAAGTTTCACTTATTACTTACTATTTCGAAGTGCTAGTAATAGATTCTAATTCTAAATGATAACGATATTATTTTTTTATTATCTTAATCTCATATTAGTTATGTTAAATATATTCATAATTTTTATAAAAATATTATTTGTGATTTCAACAAAATAATTCTTAAATATTGAATTAATTTAAAATCATAAATATACATACTAAACTTGCTCCATTTCTAATTAGACGAAAATAAATTTCTATCATAAGTGCTTTTACGTTATGCGTCTTATATCACGGATTACACATTCATGTATTTTAATATGTATATGTGTATGCATATATGTGCGCATATCACACGCACACACATATACAGAGTGTCTGGTAAAGATTATGCCAACGCTCGTGAGCAGGTAGAGCAGTAAACTGAACAGAAAAGTCCTGTACATTTTTTTTCTATAATGCTTAATAAAGGAGTTTATTGAGTAAAGTCTGGCCAATCAGCGTCGACTTTTAGCCGGACGCACGTCAGTGAGCCGTCTGCCTGGTAGTGTATGCCGCCGTAGCAACGGAGCGCTCTACACCCTGTACAGGCTTTTTGAAAAATTAATTTTTTTATAAAAATGTCGAATTTTTTAAATGATTGGAAATCAGTAAGAGATTGGCGTTTTATTTAAAAGATCTAGTGATAAATTGGAAAAAAAGCAAAATGTAATGCAATTGTAAACGTAACTAATTATAAAAGATTTAGTTTATGTGTATGTATGTATATATATTATGTATAAGTAAGTATATGACGTGTGTGTATAGATGAATAGTTGAACACTCAAGGAAATTTTCCCTTTCTTCGAGCAGGGTCACATATACATAATAATGTTACGCATGATCTTTGTATATGTATAACCTCGTTTATATATTATATATACGTATTCGAAAAATTTTTATAAGAATTCAGATAAAAGCCGGTTTTGTTATCTTACATAATAAAGAATCGTCTTCATTAATGTATAAGATATTAAAAATTGTATTTATCTAAATTCTAATAAAAATGTTCGAGATACATAGAAGCGAGGACGAAGATCATGACGTAATGCTATTATTGATAAATCACAATCGTATTAGCCAATGTATAATTTTTAACTATTTATGTTCTTTGTCTTAATGAACTATAATCGATTTAACAACTTCCTGTTTGCGTATATTGCGAAATGTTTCCAAGATGTGTGAAATACATCAAATCATATCGAATAACAAATTTTTATATTCTATTTTTATATTTTTATATTATTATATCGAGAATAACAAATTTATTCAAAAGAGTATATTTTCCTTGAACTCAGAATTTTTAATTTTAAATAAATTTTGCTTAAAAAAAAAAATATATATTGAAATTCACAATTTTGAAATTTCGCGGGCAACTAATATACAGGCTAAGGCCGATATTACATTTGTCGTACGACAAACTTTTTAAGCATATTGATTGGCTGCAAAATAGAAACTTTCTTAAGTCTCTAGAAATTAGCTAATCAATGCGCTTAAGAAGTTTGTCGTACGACAAATGTAATATCGGCCTAATTCTAAAGGTTACTAACAAACTTCAGAAGTGTATAGAGAGGTCGGAATATAGCAATTTTCGATTAGGAACCCATGTTCTCTGAAGTAATCCTGAGTCAATGATACAAGTTTTTGAATGTAAGGAACTACATTGTGGATAATATACCAATGAGGGAAATAATCTTAATTTGTACAAAAGTTTGTCAGTAACCTTTATAATCATCCTGTGTATTGAGTTAGATAACTATATACTTTCTTTCTATGTTTGTTAACTGATATTATAATGAGCAAAAACTGTCGAAGATAATTTTCTCTTATTGTTAGACATTTCCTGATATTATTTATTGTTGAACAAAAATAGGAAAAACAATACAATTTTTTGTGTTGAATTTTTAATATATATAAATATGAAAAATCAATTTTTATACGTGTGTATATGTGTATGTGTGTGTGTATGTGTGCGGTAATCATGTATGGGTAAACATAGAGATGATAAATATAGAATTCTATCGCTATATCTTTCGGTGAAATTCGAACTCATCGGAATCTCGTACCGGTTTCGATTTAACGAGACATGAACGATTACCTTGGGATCTTTCTCGTAATAATGTTGCTGGGTGCGAATCCATCGCGAAACGAGATTGTCCTTGACACTATGGGCTAAAGCGAAGTAGTAATCGCGGGTCGTGGCGATGTTACGATCCTTCACCAGAGTGTAGTGAAGGTGCCTGTTGAAGGTCTTTTTAAAATTTCCGACGTTCTCGACATCGACGATCCCGCGCACCGAAATCTGCTTCCTCTTCTCGTGATCGCTGTTCGGCATTGACATGATGATTTATTTTAACGAGCAGCAGCTTGATTTATTCGCGAGACAACAAGTTGCGTCGATAACACGCACTCGACTGACGACCGACGATGCGTCTACGGCCCTCCAAAGGCGAATGATACGCGGCTGCCAGTTCAGAAGGCAGTGGTCACCTTGTCTCAAGGTGACGCATGCGTACGAATGCGTGAGCGTGTACATATTTGCGGTGACAAAAGTAGAAAACGTGATTTTACTTTAGCGTACTCCGACTTGAACGTTATACATGTAAATGAATCGATATTTTTAAAATCTTGATCCAGCTGTTCTATTCAGCTTGAGATCATAAACAAAAGTCTACGATGATACTGATGATGATGTCGCGCATTGCTCCGAAACGTCAAATGGACCGCACTGTAAACATTCCGGAGCATTCGTAGCGCTCAGAGAAATAGGTAGCTGAAATATACACTTTTATTAAAGAATCCAATAAATTCCGAATGGTTGCGGTGACAAAAGTAGAAAACGTGATTTTACTTTAGCGTACTCCGACTTGAACGTTATACATGTAAATGAATCGATATTTTTAAAATCTTGATCCAGCTGTTCTATTCAGCTTGAGATCATAAACAAAAGTCTACGATGATACTGATGATGATGTCGCGCATTGCTCCGAAACGTCAAATGGACCGCACTGTAAACATTCCGGAGCATTCGCCCAGAGAAATAGGTAGCTGAAATATACACTTTTATTAAAGAATCCAATAAATTCCGAATGGTATCGATATCATTATTTTCCTATCATGTATTTTATTTCATATCAATTAATAAAATACATCCATAACATTTTAATAGTAATTATATAGTTGAAAAATTTGTTTTCTTGTTAAAAAATTTGTCGGTTAAAATTTTTGTATTAAATGTTTTTAACATATTCATGTGTTAATTTAACATATTGCTGTTGTGTTAATTAAACATATTGTTGTTGTGTTAATTGAACTTTAATGTTAAATTATTAAAACAACTGAAAAATGTTAAAATAACACAATGTGCACATTTAATTTTACATAATAGATATGTTCCTTATTATTAATGACAGGATTTATCTGTTATAATTTACAGAAAAAAATTTAGATTTTATTCTATAATTAAGAGTGAGAGTGACTATACAGACCGTTCGTAACATTTTTCCAAGTTAATTTTATCATTAAAAATATGTTGAGTTTTTATAAAAATTATTTTAAATTACTATGCGGTTTGCATTCAGTTTTTATTGAAATATTAACATTGTATTAATGTCACGATTTAACATATCCATATTATATTAAATTAACACAAAAATCTATGTGGACCGTTTGGCTGCTGAGATTCCCAGATTCTTGTTACAGCTCTGCTAGCGTTGTTAATTCTTTGATCATACTTATACATAAATTATATATTTTCTAAATTATTTAATGTTCTCTAATTAAAGTTGCAGATAACACTGATCGCTTAAATTTTCACTAATATATAATTAATTTTTAGCTCATCAAAAAATTTTAAAGAAGAAAAGAGTAATTTTAAACAAGAGTTGAGAGAAATCTCAACTAACAATTTTTTTCAAATCGGTTTCAAATAAACAACTATAAAATTACTCTCGTTTCCTTTGTACATTCATAGAAAATTTATCACACTGCATATAAAATAATATCACTTAGTATACACATATAAGACACTTTAAAAATAGATTATCAAAAATCATTGAAAGAAAAATATTTCAAGGGGACGCATAAAATATGAGATAATTGTGAAAAGAAAAAAACAGTTTTTTATCTTATTTAATATCATTTATTTATAAATTAATCGTGCAGATGCAGATGCAATAATGAAAACGACAAGAAGCAATACGCGTATTACAATTCACATTCTTAACATTTTGCCATCGGTCCCGATAAAAACACATGTTTTCTCGATAATTATAGATAGATATTATGATATAATATAAAGTTGCATCTTCATCGTTCACCGTACAATGTGTTCCGTATCTCGTTATTCGTTTAGGATCATTTTATTTGATGATGACTGTCCTTCCCTTTCACATATATATATATATATACACGCGTGTTTGTACACATACGCACGGATACGCACGTGAGTAGAAGCGTACGATATATCATACGTATGCACGCACGTGTGTACATAACGGTGTAATTACAATTAATGATGCAGTAGCAATAATATTATGCAAACGTCAACGTCATTGAGAGACAGATACAATATATACGTTTCTGCATAATTTAACTCGTCATTTAACCCCTGTTCGATTTTCTCAAACGCAACAACAACTTAAAACATCGAGAAGATGGGGAGATCGCTGCAAATCGGACAATTACTTTAAGATCCATCGCCGATGGATAAACGATTCCGTTTATACGAACGCATGTCCCGTTCAATTTACCACTATCCGTTCCTCCCCTGTCCGTTGAAGTATCTGTTTAAAGTATCACGATCCTCCGATACTCCTGGTTTCTCACTATATATTTCGTCGCGTCACGGGTTCGAATGATTACTTTAGTGACATCCAGTTCGCGAAGAATGATCCAAAGCTAATCGAATACGATGCTCCAAAGACGGGACTATAATAAATCACGTGGAGCCTTATTATTCAGTCTCTCTTATGCATTCATAAACGCATTCATTCTCTCGATCGTTCTTGTATACTTTTCATTTTTACGAAGAGAAACAAAGGACATCATTAGATAGATAAAAACACGAAGTTTATGGTAATCGTTAAAACATATTTGACGAAGAATACGACGAAAAAGGGTGGAAGGGAGAGGAGAAGGGCTGATCCAAAATAGCCCTACGTACATTGCACTGTTACAACTAGCTAAAAATATGCCATTATTTTTTACCGCAAAAATGAACGATTAATTAATTACTAAGTGTTGCTTATTTCTTTTTCTCTCTCTTTCTCTCACGCAAACACACGCATACATTCACTCTTTCTTTCGCGTTGTTTAGTTCCTCGATGAGGATTGCTCTCGTGATCAGAATGTCGGTGCGCGCGCGCTACCACTTGGCTTTGCCGATCGTGTTGTGCCTTGGAAAAGTATAATTATATTTATTTCCTCCGAAATTATACGACGGCGAAGCTCGCGACGACAATTGTCGCACGTGTTAATTATTAATTATCGCCTCACCAACGCGACTACTGGGCCCATTACATGATGTGTGAGACTTCTCCCGGTTGTAAATTGTCCTGCTCGCACGCGCTCTCAAACTTCTTCTCTCACTCTTTTTTTAACGTTTCTCTCTTTCGTTTCTAATTTAATCCTTTCTATCTTTGTTGTCCCGGCTGTCCGCTGGACGATCATCACACACGACTTTTCCTTATTCTTCCTTCAACGGCTCGGCCTTCTTACCGAGAGGGATAGCCGCCTTCACTCTGAAACAACCGAGTCAATCAATTTTTGAGTAAAAACATTATCACGAAAAATATAATGAGCATATAAAAAATCTAATGCATTTATTGTCTCGCAATCTAACAATTTTGTTGGATAAAAATAATATTTTGTGCGTTATAACACATTCTTTGTGATATTTACATTTATACATCAATATTTGGCGAGTTCAGTTTACGCAATTTATGCGAAAAAGATCCTTATATTAATTGTTACATTTTCATTGAATAATATGTAGGAATCAACTTTGCTTGTTATCGCAAAATCTGAACTCAGTGAAATAATGCCAGTTTTATACAGATACAATCTGTGTCACAAAAATGTGTAAGTTCTCGCATCTCTTTGAGATGGAATTAAAAAGAGATTATATTGACAACTATAGATTCAGATAAATAAAAAATTGTGTAGCAACGTGACACATACTTGCAACTTCTATGTACATAATAAATAAGGAATGAGAAAAAAATTTATCGCATCACTGTTTCATTTCTCATAAAATTTCTCTCAAAATCAAGGGAACTTTTATACTCACTTAGCGGTGATTTCGGTGATTTTCGCCTGAACCAAAGCCAGATTCTGATCAATCTGCTCCTGATTCGTTTCGTAAACCTTAGGCAGCGTGAAAAGAGCGACCACTCCTGAAATAACGTAAATGAATCCATTCAATTAACCGCTTCATTTTAAAGTATTCGAAAGAGGCGTAAAATGCGACGTGAAAAAAATACCAATTATGATGAGAGTCATGCCATTGAACCAAGAACCAACGTAGGTGAGACACCATAGCAAGACGCCAAATTTGAGAGAATCGACGAAGTCTTCAACGAGGAACAGTCTGCGCAATTCACTAAGGGCAGCGTTAGCATGTGCGACTGCGACATCCGCGACTTCGTGCACTTTCTCAGCTGGTAATACCAAGTCCAGATCAAGGATATCTCTGCGACCCAAATGATAGTTTGATTAAAAAACTAAATTATTATAAAACAAAACTAAAAAATATTATTTATCTATTTATCTATTTACTTGAATGGATGACCGTCCGAAGTCTTCTGGACTGCCTGAAGAACGGTTTTGTAGATACGGAAAATAACGGTTCCGCTAAGGACGAGAAGTGACAGATAAGCGAGCACACTTATCAGACTGAAATAGGCCAATGATAGGAGCACACCTAGTATCGTGCCGAACACAATCCCTGATTTTTTGGGATCGCGCCAATATATCAGAGCCGCCACTGCAAACAGAAACAAACACTCCAATTAAGAAAAAAAATCTTAAATTCTTAATTCGCAAATATATCTAATCTTTCTCTATAATAATGTATGGCTAGAGATGTAAATAGAACAAAACAAAATTTTTTTTCATAAAAAATGATTTCTTTATGAAAAAAAAAAGCTTCGTTTTTTCAAAAAAAATTTTTTTTTTTCAGATATTTAATATCTTTATATTTTGATTACTTCAAATGACTGCTAATCATTTTCGATTTTAATATTGCTGACAAATTAATAACGCATTATGTAACACGAACTCGAATTAACTTTATGCTCAATTTATAATTCAAATTACCAATAAGATTCTATCTTCTATCTCGTTCTAATCTATTTCTCTCATATGATTCACATTTAGATTATTTTCCTACTCAATTTAGGTGGTCAGTTCCACATTACGTAACACATTTACATAGCTAATTGTGTTATTGAATCTCCTTCAATCAATTTT